AAAAAAAAAAAAAAAAAAAAAAAGTCTCATTGAACACCAAGTTGATACAACCAAAGCTATAGGAGGACATTGGATCAAATGATATTCTTAAAATTGAGTAGAGAAATAAGAAACAAGAGGAAGACGAAACAAACAAAGCACAAACAAGATTCACAGTTTTCAACTCTGAGAGCTACGTCCACTTTCAGTTGCTGCAAAATATCATCATAATCAGAAAAGGAAGTACAAGGTACAATTACTCTCGAAGTACGAGGTTGATCCGCATGCTAACTCATAAACGAGGGATAATTAGGCTCCACACGAATCGAAAATTACAGTCCAATCTTATCAAACTTCATACCGAACAAGGCGTGAAGGAATAATACAAGCCATTTTTTAGGAATAACCACATATGCACATCTTCTTTATGTTATTCATCGTACCTAGGCATGATGAATTGGAAACAGGGCAGCGAAGTCGGGGAATTCCGGGCGGCGAAAACCACTCCATTGGCCATTCAAATGCTGCATCATCATGGTTCCCAAACACGGTGGCCCATGGAATACCCCTGGCTCTTGTTGGTGAAATTGCTAAATCCCAATACAAGCTTGCATTTGCCACTGCAATGTTGTTGGCTGTGATTACATCTCCCAGATAAACAACAAAATCTGCCATACAATATTACAATTCCTTGAAATGACAAAGTGTAGTATAATCTACATGAGCTGTTCATTTTAATACAAAGTCTAGCAAGTACTCTTTGCTGCTATAACACCAAATAAAAATAGAGAGATTTATATATATATGTGTGTGTGTGTTTATATATAGCAATATAATCATTAATTCTATTCGACTGTTTATAATCTCATATCATTCTGTTCTTTGAGGATTCAAAATTCTGCATTTCACTGCAGCCCACTGATTCGAGTTTAGAATTTAAATTTTATTATAGTAAAAAATTTTTAAAAAGTATCACGTCTAACTTTTTTATTATAATAAAAAATTTTCACATAACATCACATCTCAACTCAAATTAAAAACCGAACGTATAATTTTCTTACAAAATTAAACAGTTGAATATTTTCCAAAAAGTTCCAAAACTAACGGAAAAGAAAGTACAAATAAATATATATATATATATATGACAGAGACATAATGAAGTTGATAACATCACCTGGGGTTTCATAGGAAAGCACATTGGACATGACCCTGATAGAGTTCACGTCCTGGCGCGGACCCCAGTCAGTCCACGCGTCCTCACCGAAATGCAAATCAGCGAACAGAGCGATCTTGAACGGTGCACCCACCCGTAATCGTAGATATTTTTCCGGCTTCGTCCGTAGAGCGACAGTCCGTGATCCGGCATGCTGGCGCAGTTGATCGTGGAATCCGACGGTGGAGATTGAGTCGACGCAGGGGAAGAGACACGTGTAGAGTAATGATAATGAGAAGAAGAAGAAGATTGTTAAAAGGTTTCTGAAGTTCTCCATCGTTGGTGAGCAGAAACAACTGCGAGGACTCTCTTTGGTGTTCACGGGTGGTCTTTGGATTTTGGCCGTCGTTTTTTCCGCCTTAAAAGGAGTTGAAATGACAGAATTGCCCTTCCCGTTTTTAGTTATATGGAATAAATTGCTGCATTCCTTTCATAATTAGAATTACAACTTAAACTTTTTTGTATTTTCTATTATAAAAATTTAAATTTAATTTTTTTAGTACACTATTTTTTTTTTATATAAATTTATTTTTTAATTTAAGTCCGTGAAATAAACAATTATGCCTTTGTTTTAGTTGGATCTAGAAACTTCCGAGTTCCTTGGAAGGGTGAGCAATTAGCAGCACTTGCAAGCTGCATATGCATTGCAAACCTTGTCCAAAATTTTACATTTAGGGACAAATGGTTCGGCCCGTTTAATTCGCTGATTCGAGTTCTGATTCAAGTTGAAATGTGATTTTATATGAAAATTTTTTATTATAATAAAAATGTTAAATATGATTATTTATTAAAATTTTTTACTGTAATAAAACTCAAATCGATGAAATAAAGAGTCGGAGTTAATAGCAATTGTTATTTGTAAATTCAAGTAGTAAATGATCAAGAAACAAATTAGGGGCTAAAAGTGTCAAACCGAAAACAACAAAGGGTAGGCGCTATAAAGTCCTCGAAGCAAAGAATTAGCAGAGGATCTAAGGTATATTCCCTGGGTCGTTGGCACGTCCTAGGCTCTTCTACGTCATAATAATAAATGTTTTTTTATTTCTCTTTAGGAAAAAAATTAATTCAAAGTATTATAGGCTCCGTTCACTTCGCTGATTCGAGTTTAGAATTTGAGTTTTTTTTACAGTAAAAAGCTCTCACAAATAATCACATTTAACTTTTTTATTACAGTAAAAAGCTCTCACATAAAATCACATCTCAACTCAAATTCTAAAATCGAATCAGCGAAATGAACGGGCCATAATTTATTGTGCACGTCGATCAATATTTCTAAATATTTTGTTAAACGAATTGTCATACAATAACGATCTATTTAATGCTAAACACCTTTCTAGTTGAGTTCGGAAAATATTTGGCATCAAATGGATGAGAAGCGAGTGAGTGGAAAAGTTTCAAATGAAAACTCCTTTAAAACCTTCAGGAGTCAAAAGTGTTGGACAAATAAATTTTAAAATTTTTAATTGAACTCTCATTTTTCCCACCCTTAAATTTTTAAAACTAGAAGAAGTTTATGATATTTTTTTTGTAAAAATTTCGACCTTGTCCACTAAAGTACATCCTTATTGTTCCAATTAAAAACTTAATTATAACACAATATTTTCAAATCTACAAATCCCGTAATGGCCAAAATTTAAAAACTCGATCAAATTTACTTTATAACATTTAAAAAAAAATAAAAAAAGAGAAAAAAAATAGAGTCAATTATGCTCCCACTAAAACAAGTTTCTAGTTACACTGCAGTATATATGTAGGTCCCGTCCCGTTCATTTCATCGATTTGAGTTTAGAATTCGAGTTTTGTTATAGTAAAAAGCTCTCAGAAACAGTCATATTTAACTTTTTTGTTACAGTAAAAAGCTCTCACACAAAGTCATATCTCAACTCGAATCAGCAAACTAAACAAGCCCCTAATAATTTGTGTACATATAGATCTCACTCTCTGCCTTTTGCCTCCTCCTTTAGATGACCCTTTTTGCCTAGCAACTACAATTTAAATCTAAAAGCACATTAATTTTGATATAGTAATGGATCACAATTCAAAAGAAAATTTAATGAACTTGTAGCCCGTTTTACATATATTATATATTAGTTGAAGTGTAGGCATCAAACAGTGCCAACTAATTACGATTACAAAGGCCAATGGCATTCGTGACACTAAAAGCATAATAATGAATAGGCGCCACATAGTAAACTACAGCGGAATTAAGAGGTTGAGAGAATATAGTAAATAGTAAATTTTTGAAATTAAATTAAGTAAGTAACATATTTTAAAATTATTTGAAGTAAATAGTCATTTACATGGTAAATGAATCATTTACCGCGTAAATAGTTTATTTATGATTAGTAAATACATTTTTTCGTAAAACTTCTTTTTACGATTGGTAAAAAGATTTTTTCCCATGTAAATAAAGATTTTTTAAAAATTTTTACCACGTAAGTCCTTTTTATCAGTCACAAATTAATCATTTACACCGTAAATTATTCATTTACACGGTAAATAATTCATTTACCATGTAAACTGTTATTTACTTCAAATAATTTTAAATCTATTATTTACTTAATTTAGTTTTAAAAATATGTTATTCACTGCAATTTCCCTAAGAGCTTTAGCTTTGCTTCCTTTTCATCTAGAACCGTTCTAGATTGTTGGTTTAGTCCATCTGATTATTTGGCAGTTTGAAAAAAAAAAGTTTTTGATCAAACCAAATCATTTCATAAAATATATTATGCGGTGGTCTAATCTAGTTTGGACTGCAGTCAGGGGCGGAGCCACCTTAAGCCTGGGATAGCTGCCCCAGGCCCAAGGGCTCCTTTAAAATTTGATCCAAAAAGAAGATATTTTATAATTTTATTTTTAAATTGCAACCTTAAAAAATTTTTGATTGCATTTTTACACAGATTCTTTTTTAAAAAAAAAATAATGCTTCTATTCTCCTTCAAATTTTAACGGTTAAGTTTACCCATATTTTATTATTTATTAAAAAAGTTTCACTTATACCTTAAAAATTGACTTTTAAATATACTTATCAATGAAATTTAAAACCTCAAATAAAGAAACAACTACACTAATATAAAAATGCATAATTTGGTAAGACAAGAATCTCGTATATGAAACAATAACCAACTATAATTTTGTGGATATATGGGAACTTGACTATTGCAGATTGCGAGTGGCACCTTTTATATATAAGTGGGCTGACAATAATTATGTGAAGGTTGATAGTGATGGAGTTACGGTAATTGACTTTTGAAGATTGGGCTACAAGAATGATCATTTAATTTTGGCAACGCAAGCAAAACAAGTTTTATATACAACCGATCCCAATGATTTTGATTTGTCTTTAGTTGTTTACATGAAGCCAAGGGCTATTCGTGATGGAGAAATGGATGATGATGATTGCAACGAATGGTGTGCCTACATCCAAGACTAGGAGAAGAGAGAAAAAACTGATAATAAACACTATTATGAATGGGCTCGAGTGGTGGTGGAGGGACTGGGAGAAGAGAGAAAAACCTGATAATAAGCACTATAATGAATGGGCTCGAGTGGGAGCGGCGGCGGCGGCGGGATAGTTTATATTACATTTTGAATACTTTATTGGATTAAACATGCATGGTAGTTTTTCTAATTTGTCATTAATGGGAAAAAATTGTTGTTTGATCAAGAATATTATTTAGGGAAAACATTTTTTTGTAAGATTTCTTTTATGACGGAGTTGATATTGCATGTTAGGGTCCCACAGGCGCATTTTACAACCTTTAAACACTATTTGAAAAGTCACGAGTCAAGATGTCATAAACACTATTTGAGGCTGTCGTTTTATTTGTAGCGTCAACTGTTTTGGCTGACCAGGCCAAGTAATGTTATGTTACCTTTTCAGAAAGAAAAAAACTGTTGGCAGATGTCATAAAAAAAAATAAAGACAATATTTCATACTTCATCAAGCAATATACAAAGATTGAAGTACTACTTAAAATATCTTTGTTAAAATTCTCGAACTTCAGACCCAAGTATACATAAATACATTTACTTAGAGAATGTTTAGTTCATGCATTCAGAATCATTATTCAGAATTATTTTTAATTTACGTGTATTTTTATGAGAGAAAACACTATATTAAACAACGAACTATAATCCAAATAATAGTACCATAAATGAGTCATGAAAATTGCAATATATAGCAGCATATATCCCAAGAAATTGACCACATTGTTTTGTGAATTTGACCAATATTAATTTTCATACCATTACTTGGTTTGGATATATCTATTCACGACTTCGAGAAATTTTATCCGTAACGATATACCATAAATGAGTCATGAAAATTGCAATATATAGCAGCCAAGTTTTTACAGATAACGTGATAAACAAACTCCTTAGCAGATATCTTTCCTGTGGTTTTCTCTCTCTCTCCTTTCTCTCTCTTTGAAAACAATGGTGTTCAACGCCGACACTAATCGAAATGTTGTCGGTATCACCGGCAACGTCATCTCCTTCGGGCTATTTACTTCCCCGATCCCGACATTTTACCGGATCATGAAGAAAAAGACGGCGGAGGGATTCAAGCCCGATCCTTACCTGGCAACAGTTCTTAATTGTATGCTGTGGGTTTTCTACGGAACGCCGTTTATTCATCCCGGCAGCCTTCTTGTTCTCACCATAAACTCTGTCGGTCTAGTACTTGAACTCATTTATGTACTCATTTTCTTTATCTATTCCAAGAACAAAGAACGCAAAAAGGTAATCCTTGTCCTTGCCGGTGAATTCCTCTTCTTTTCCATTGTCGTTTCGGTAGCAATTTTCGCGTTTCAAGGCACTAAGAAAAGGTCTTTATTTGTTGGTATTATGAGTGACATCTTCAACACCATAATGTACTCTTCTCCTCTTACTATCATGATGAAGGTTATTGATACCAAGAGTGTGAAATACATGCCGTTTTCTCTGTCCTTGGCTAACTTTCTTAATGGTTCGGTTTGGACCGCTTTTGCCCTAATCAAGTTTGATATCTATGTGCTTGTAAGCAATGGTATAGGCGCGATTTCCGGTGCTGTACAACTCATGTTGTACGCCTTCTACTACAGATCTACTCCAAACGATGATGAAAATCATGATGGTGATCAGAAATTTTCAAGGCCAAATGAAATTCAGCTCTCAACAGAAACAGTCTGATCTCTTAACAAAATTTTTGCTGCTATTTCGATATTTACTTTCACTTTTCTTTGTTAGGTTTTAGTGTTAGATCATTTTTGGAGAACTTTTTTTATCATTTGGAGTTTTTTTCTTGAGTTTCCGAATTTTCTTAATGCGGATATTGGGTTTTGGAATATTTGATTTCCATTATTGGTATATAGAGTGGATATAGCTTACCATAAAACCTAATTTTGTCATGTTGATTACCAAAGTTGAGCAATTTGAGTTTCTTGTTGGTTCAATAATTTGCTTTTTTGAATGATGAAATACAACTTTAGAGAAATTTTCTATTCTTCAGCATATCAATTGATAATACTTGGTTTTGGACTCCATCTAAAATATTAGCCTATGAAGAAGAGTAGTCCAACGAATTTTATGTTTAACAAATGTTGGAGTGTGTAATCATTCGCACATTCCAGACAACATTGTTAATGTCTTTTTCTAAATATATATATATATATATATATATATGTATGTGTGTGTGTGTGTGTGTGTGTATCATTAACACACGCTATGTATATAGATATACAATATGTATTGCATAATATACATACACACACATACATGTATACACATTATTAATGAATTATGTTCACGAACCCAGTCCAAAAAAAATTAGGAAAAATATATGAGTTCACGTTATCGGATTTTAGCATATTGTGGTTAATAGTGAAAGCAAATGGATTTGATGTTTTCCTATTTTGTAGGATATGTAAATATTGTTTTTACCTCTTTTATTTTAGAAGATTTGCAACGTTGTAAGTATATTTCTTTCCTTTAAAAACAAATTACACAAAGTTATAATGATCAAACCATTCTCAAAATTTCAAAATCTTTCTTAAAACTCTCATAGTGACGACTAAAAAGAAAAGAAAATTAAAAAAAAAAAAAGAAACAGAGGGAAAAGAAGTAGAAGAAGAATAAAAGAAAAGTGATATGATGCTAAAACTTAATGGAAAGTAAGTCGTGGAGATCAATATATTTGATTTATATAATATTGTTAAGAGTTATACGGAGAGTGGATTGAGGTTGCGGTGGAGGGTTGGAGAAGAAGTACCAAATAATTTTTTTGTTTGGTAAGAAGGATAAATCGACGAAAGGATCAAGATAATTTGTTGATTTTCGCACAACCTTGATCTTTCAGGCAAGCCTTCCCATGCTCCTAGAATGAGCAAATATCTTCTGGTAATTACCTCTCTTCCTGATCGGTTTAAAGCTAATCTCATTTGAATGGTAATTATTAATGGACTAAGTGTATCACGTTAGGGGTATCAGTGGATCGGATTACGCGGATTAGGGGTTAGTGCGCAATTCAATCCGTTATTACGGATTAGTACAATTTCAATCCGTTACCAATCCGTGAGACTCGTAATTCAATCCAATCCAATCCGAAAAGAACGGATTCCACGGATGGTAACGGATTGACCTATATCTTTAACATTGACTGTTGTAACCTCTCTTTTTAATATAATCATAAAATTAATGACAAAATTAAACACAAATATAACATAACATAGTATTAAAATAGTTTCACAAAATCTAATTCTTGACAACACAATCTAACATAAAATTTAAGTCTAACAATAATTTAAAATCTGAAATTCAAGGAAACAAACTTCAATAAGTAAAGTCTTTGAAAATAATTTATATATTTTCTATATATGTTATTTAATAATATATAGAAAAATACATGTAATATATATAATTCGGATTGGTGGATTATGCAGGATTTAGAAATGCTCAATCCACAATCCAATCTGTAACTTCGGATTGGAAAAATCTCAATCCGTTACTAATCCAAGATTCTTTTAATCCAATCCAATCTGCTGGATTGGATTGATTTATGCAGATTGGACGGATTGACAGATTCGATGAACACCCCTATATCACGTCATTTTGCTTATGTGGTATACGCGTCCAATAAAAATGTATTATTTGAGCACTTTGTTTATATCAGCTTTTTATATGTATATTTTTCTTTCTTAATGAGCCCACACGGACTGTTATTGAGTTAAAACCACCATTATTCTACCTAATTTCCTTACTTTAATCAATGAACTTTAAATAATTATTTTAATTTCTAAAATACCATTATTTAATTTTCTTTTCAATGCGTCCCTTGCTAAATTGCTTCTTTTTTTTTTTGCTTCCAGAACTTAAAATGCTGAACAATCTTTCATATACATTTTGAACGATCTTTCATGTACAAGAATCATTACCTAGTTCCTCAAATTTATCTAAAAGAAAGATCATAAGAAATAAAACATAAAAAAAAAATAAAGCCTTCTTATAAAACTGTCAATATATATTAGACGTATAAAATACCTTTTTCAATTTCCATGTTGCTAGATGTTGCTATAGTGCTGATACATGATAGAAGGCATATTTTTCCTCGGTCTGTTTGAATAGCAAGGGATGTGTCACAAAGCAAATTGAATAAAATTATTTTATAAATAAAAATAAAAAGTTATAGTTAATTGTTTAAAATAAGGGAATCAGGTAGAATAATTAATAATGGTGATTTGAACTCAACAATCAATGCTATACACATTAAGAAAAATAAATACAAGTTAAAAAAGCTGACATAATAAAATGGACAAATGGTACATTTTCATTAGACGGGTGTACGTACCACATAAGTAAAATAGCGTAGTACACCTGATCCATTGAATCATTTCTCGTTTTGGCCTAAAATGGTGGGGTTTATACATCTGTCTAATTTTGATGTCTAAAATAGAGTTTAACAAACCACATCATTTCTTAAAAAAATTTAAAGTACTTTTTAATTAACTTTTCCACGCTTTAATGTTGAGTCCATTAAATGATCTGACAAAAAATGCTATTTTAGATATCATATGTGACACTAAAAATTAGACATGGGATTTATATCCAATTTGGTGGCTAGTACCTCTGGAGTTCCTCATTGTGATGGGGTTTTTTGGATTCGTAAACGTTTTATATAAGGATTTTTTTCCTGCTCAGTTAGAAACGTGGTTGGAGTTCTTGAAAACTATTTCACTGAGATCTTTTCGTCATCTCTTCCTGATCAAGATAGCATGGAGATTGCATTGGTGGATGTGGAGAGAAGGGTGACGTCTGATATGAACCTATCATCTGATCTCATTCACGGCCGATGAAGGTAGAGAAGCTGTTTTTAATGGGGCCGTGGAAAGCTCCGGGATCGGACGGTTTTCATGCAGGCTTTTTTCAAGATAATTGGGATTTGCTACAGTATTTTCTCTCATAAAAAATACACGTAAATCGAAAATGATTCTAATCACATAATTATAATCTATGTACCAAACGGACTCTTAGAGAGAGAGAGGTGAAACTCACCGGAAGGCTCACGGACCGTCGTTAGGTTGGAAGTGGCGATTGCCAAATTGCATGCCTAATTGGAATTTGAGGAGGTGTTTTTGGTGGTTGTATGTTCAATCTTTGTAAAGCAAGCCAATCAGGCACTTCTCAACGGCAACCATCAACGTTCACTATCGGCCCGTCAGAGATGTGAATGTTGACTTCGCGACAATCAGACATGCAAACTGTTAGGCTTAGGCAACATAACATTGCTTAGGACGTAAAAGAGGAGATGGGGGAGATGAGAGAGAGAGTCAGAACATTTTTTTAATCTTCATTTATAAATCTTTTTCTTTGAATATTCATTAATTTTAAAATTATTAAGAGAATTCATTTTTTTTAAAATTTATTTTTTTCTTATACTCTTTTAAAAAAAAATTTATATGTGTGAAAATTATATTTTCTCAATTTTTTAAACAAAACATTCTCATGCACAACCAAACACTATAATACACTATTCCTGAAAATTTGAGACAATTCATGTATGTAACCAAACACAACAATGTATTATTCTTAAGAATCATATTACCCTCTCCATCACTTTCCCAGGAATATGATTTTAACTGTTTACTGCGTACCAAACGCCCCCTAAAGGGAAACCATAATCTCACATTATAAAAAATGAAAAAAAATAAAATGATTAGCTTAAAAAGTTGATTAGTACTAAATAAATATAAACACAATAAAAAATACTACAATAAATAGGAGATTAAACGACGCCTATTTAACAATGTTTTTAGGAAACCGTCGTCTAATGGGCTAAAAAAACGAGGTACGAACACGAAAAATCTGAACCATCATCTAATGTGGTACATTAGACGACGGGTTTTTTAAAATCGTCATCTAATTTCAAAAATTTAAAAAAAAAAAAAACATGCGGACTTTTTTCCACTCATTTTTTTCAAATTTTTTTAAAACTTTGATATCTGATCTATAACTTCGAGCATTCTCTTACAGACTCTAAGTTGTTAAATCTCTTCATCTCTCCAAAGCGCTCTCTCTTCCTCATACCAACTTTCTCTCTAACTCTCCTTTCAACACTTCAATTTTTTTCTTTCAAATCACATATGTTCTACACTCATCATTCTTATTACTATATGTACTCCTCACTCCCTCAACTTGGCCGCCGCCTCCAAGAGCCTCACAATCATGCTCATATGTCGCCCACCGTCGTGACCTCACTTCCATATCTGCCACTACACCATGACCATTGAAATGGGTACTTTGTTAATCTTTTGAAATTTCTTTTCTTTGAGATTAGTTTTTTTTTGTTTGGATTTAGAGTTTTCTTTGGACTAATTAGGTTTTTTTGTTGTTAAATTTCGTATAGACTTTTGGTTTTGAAATTTTTGTGTTACACATATATTGATTACGTATGAGAAGGTGAATTTGTAACATGTTGTTTTGAATTTTTTCATGTGTGTTGTTCAATAACTTGTGATAACAGTCAAAGAAATAATTTTTTTGAGCAAAGAATTAGTTTTCAAAAAAATATATATTTTTTTGATTTTTTAATACTTTTAATGACAGTTTTTTTTTTTTAAAAAAAGTCATCATTAAAAGTTATACATTAGACTACGGTTTTTAAAAAACAATTGTTAAAAGTTGATATTAGATGACGATTTTTTAGAGAGACGACATTGCCGTCTAATGTGCCAATTTAAACTCTTGTAGTGTCTCACACGCGTATTAGACAACGGTTAAAAACCGTCAGCGTATCTCTTAGACATTTAATGACTCTAGATACAATGACAGTTTTTAACCGTCATCTTATCTCTTATTTGTCCTAGTGACAAAAGCAAAGCAAATTTAACATATCTCCAAGTAATTTTTTAGAATAGTGATTGAAAGGTAGAAATTAGGGTTTTGCTATAAATTTTTAAAATGTAAATAATTTATAATATACCAATATGATATTAGGGGTGTGTGGAGAGAAAAAAGACCTCTATCATTAGTTTCTTTTTTGTAATAAAATTTAATTATATAATTAAATCCATTGCCTTTTTTGTCATTTTAGTTAAGGATGTTTTTATAATTAGAGATTTTTAATCTAAGAAGGGTACAGAGAGTGAAAGGGGTGCATATAGAACCACCCTTTCTGTTATTATGATACTTAACAATTGAGATTATGGGTTATTTTTAATAACAAAGACGTAATTTTATTACGACAAATATCTTACACGATTGATTAATAGATGTTAAAAGCTACTTTTTTAGGGGAAAAATTATACATTTTAAATTAATTTTTAAAACAAAAAGAAGTTTTAACGATAGACAATCTATTACTAAAAATCCTCATTTTTTTTATGACGAAAATTTCAAAATCTTTCATCGGTAAAAATAACGTACGTCAACTTCAAGTGATGAAACAAAACTTTTCCATACAAAGTAGTAAACGCCGCATAGAAACGGATTATAGTGATCCAAGAAAGGAAAATGTTTTATTTTACCATTTAAAATTAATTATATTAAGTAATTTTTAAAACGTAAAAATACTTATGTAACAGACGATTTTGTCGGTAAAAGTTAATTACATATTTTTTTATTGATGAAAATTTCAAAATTTTTATCAGTAAAAGGGTAAAGTTTTAATTTTTTTTTTTAGGAAAACTAGAATTAATGTCCATCAATTAAACGTCATAAGAAGATTCTATGGTTGTAAAATACTATGGGGTGGTTTTATTCACACATCTCTTTTTACTCTTCACACACCATTTAAATTTTAATATGTTAAGACAAAAAAGCCCATGCATAAAATATATAAAAAAAAAAGACAATTATCATGACTTAATTACATAATCAAATTTTATCATAAAAGAAAATTAGTAACATATTTTTTTCCTTTCAACACACCCTAAATTTTATGTTGTTTTTACTATATATTTTGTTTTTAAAGGATAATCATTGCATTTTGACCTTTTATTTTCTAATATTGCATTGTTCTTCTTCTTTTATTGTTTCATTCTCTCTATATTTTTGTTTGGTTAATACTCTTCAGACACTTTTTTTTTTCTTCCAGTTTTGTCTTTTTCTATCAATACCTCAATAGTCAATAAATATGACAATTACGTTGTCATTATGCTTATTTTTATGTCCTTTAGTTTTCTTAAAAAAAAAACGTAATGGTAAATTTTCTTTATTTATGATAGAGAGATAAAGAAACGATGATATTAAAGTAGTAAATTAAAATAAAAAGGTGGGTGTGAAAAGAAAAATAAAATATTTAAGAATTAATAATTTTATGAAAATAGTTAGGGTTATTTTTGGAATATTAAAAGTGTGTAAAAAAGTAAATTTAATTCTTTTAAAATTAAGTGTGGTGAGTATTTAAAATGTGTGTGGAGAGTAAAAAGAGGTGTCAATCGAACCACCTAATCTGCAGCATATGTCGATGTAATTGTTTCCTTAAAAGAATACACTAAAAGGAAAAAAGTAAATAAAAAATCAGTAATTTCTTGATACCAAAAGAAAAAACGTTCCACAAAAAAAGTCAGCGATGCTTGTTTAGAGATTTTGTGGGATGGATTGACGATAATTATTGTAATTACCGTTTTTGTGATTATATTCTATTTTTAGAGATTGTATATATAGCTATTACATTCGGTGTGAGAAATAAATTAGTCTTTATTGCAAAACATAAATGAATGACTGAGAAAATGATTTGTCTTTGTTTTTCTGATTCCAGCATTTCCGTTTTACCCTTTTTTCCTCGGGAAACTTTCCTGTGTCATGTTTCGGTACGTATATAAAGAGGACTCGCTGTTGATAACTTGTACATGCATATTTGCATTTTGACAATATTATTTCTACGATTTCTTTGCTCTCTTTTTGAGTTGCTGGGTCATTAGACTTATAAGATATGGCATTTTCCAAGCGACAAATTGCTGCTCTCCTCATAGTTTGCATTTTCCTTTCTTTCGGTAATTCTATCCATCTATAAATTAATCATCTTATTAGCAAAAAAAAAAAATAATCATCTGTTTACTAGGGCTTGTTTTTCCTGATTCACATTTTATATGCATATATATATATATATATATACATGTGTATATTATATATATTTAGGATTATAAACCCTGAATCTTAATATTTGATAATAGTTTTAAAAACTCCTATATATATTTATATGTATATATATATATATATATTTAGACCTCCACTGTGTGCATGTCTCTCTCTGTATACAATATTTCATGAGTAACATCACATATTTTATAAGTATCAGAAGCATGATTAATAAAAGGGTATATTATCGTTATTATTCTTATTGTAATAACAATTACTATTAAAAATTACTATTATTACGTACAAATATTTTATTATTTATTCTTTTTATTTTTGCAGGCGCTGAAGAAACAAAAGGAGATGGGTCAGCTGAGTGCATATTTATTGACAAAACGTGCACCGTAGCCTCTCAATGCAGGGATGCATGCGTGCAACTTAAACTCGGTGACATCGTTTTATGCGTCAACAATCCATCAGGCCAAACACCAAATGACCAAAAAAGTTGTTGCTGCTTGCAGTACTAGAATAAATTAATAATGGATTATTGGTTTGTTATAATCTTAATTATTACCGCAATATGTTTATTAATGATGTTTGCCTCATATTCTAGCTATTGTGATGCTAAATAGCTACCATATGAACTTTTATATGAATATCATGTTATTTTTATAATGAACTTTCTATTTATTGGCGCCTCATGATTATGTTTCTTCTTTTGTTACATTGGCTTCTTTTTTTTTCTTTTTATAACATATTCTTTTGTAACATAATTATATCGTTTTAAGCACAAACTTATATTTTAACATTGATAAAACGCCACTTAATTGCCACTAAGCTACGCAAACGTTAGCATAACACCATTACCGTATTATTTTAGATTATATATATACTCAAATGATGAAGATAATCTTTTCATTATAGCTAGGCAAGTCGTTTTCTTGTAGCGCACCCCACTAAATTTATTATATAACAAAAATAAAAAGAGCAAAAACACATCAAAAAATAAAATAAAAAATTTAAAGTTAATTATTCTTGGGCAACTTAAGAAGACATGATATACTTAAATTATGCTGATAATCTGTGCTTTTCCATGGACTAGAGAGGAATGGGATCAACAAATAATGAAACGATATGCTCCTTTGTTTCACGATCTTGAATAGCATATCCATCCCCATATTGGTAAAAAAATTGTCCCGTCCTGACAACATTCATTGCAATTTCAATGAATGTCTTTGAGAAGGGAGAGTCTGCAACTCTTTCTTCATTGACGTGCTTCCATTTTTCATGAATTAATAACTTTATATCTTGACAAGCCTTTTCTTCCAAAACACGAGCTTCGTACATGTAGCATTGAATTGATTTAGGAACGTCGCCTCTTTTGAGTTCATTCTAAAGTGAAACACAACAACAAAAATAATAAAAATATCATTTTCTATGAGTAGTTATATAATATTAGATACAACTTTTTATTTTTAAAGAATGTTAATTGCATATTTTACATACCGACGACGTTCCAAGATCATCTAGAAGTCGAAAAAGTATTCCCGAGTGACGGAATATACTCGAATACTCTTCCAAGTAATTCAATGCCTCTTTCGTTGGATTTGCAGCGAAAAGGTAAGCATGGACCAATATCATCGGTATTGATATTGAAATCCACGCATTATCAATGTACTCTTGGAACGTTGGTGTGTATCCACTATAATACCATTTTGCTTCGACTAAAAAACCTTTACAAAGATCTGCCCACTAAAACAATATGATTATGGGATATTAAGTTAGTCATAATGAATAAAATATATGAGAATAAAGAAGACGCAATTACTTTCTTAAAAATAATAATTAAAAGAAAAAAGATGATGCACAAAAAAGCGAAATGTAAATAAAAATAAAATTATATGTACCCCTTTTTTAAGGTACTTAATAATGTGAATCCCTTGTTCCTTGAGCAAATGAAATGCCATATCATTTACGGAATTGTAGAAAGCAAGAAAACACATCTTCATGTAGTCTGGTAGTTCATCCATAGCGTCTGTATCCCATCTAAATAGAAATTATTAATAAAGATGTGAGATCCAAAAGAAAATTACTCTTCGAAAATTACAACACGTAAAATTAGTATTGGATTTTATTACTACTAAAACGTAATAATCTTCGAAAATTAATCTTCAAAAATTAATCTTTAAAACGTAACATTAAGATTATATTACTAACCAATTAATTACCTCTCAACAGCATTCGTGAAGAGCTCCAATTCATCAAGTGTGCCATAAACATCATATATGTCGTCAATAAGCGTTATGAAGGCAATTACTTCGGTACCTGTTCTTCTGTAGTAGCCAAATTGAGGCTCATATGCGAATCCCACCGTCCATAAGAAATTCTCCACTAACCTATCTCTTGCAAAGTCAAGCTTTTCTAGGCCTGTATTTCTCCACCACCTAATTTTTCACAAGACATAAATCCACAAATATGTCGTAGAAAATATTAACATATTGGACTAATTACATATATACACATACCTCTCCTACTTTTAATTGTCTGATCAGTTTATCCTTTTATTTTTGAAAACGACACATATATCCTTGTGGACGGAAAAAATAGAGAAGAACAAAACAAAAAGATGACCATTAAATAGTTTTTGCAAAATATTCTAAACATTTATAAAGTCTAAAAACAAAACATAAACTTGGAAAGAGAAAAAAAAAATCCGGGGGTTTAGGTCTTTTTTTTAAATGTCTAAAGTATTTTTCACAAATTTTCTTCAAGGAGAAAAATTATTTTTCATAAATTAATTTAGTCTAATTAAGAGTATATAGTTTTGTTTTCTCCTTCATTATTTATGCATAAAGTGTACAAAAAAATGAAAGGATGGTTCTATATGCACCCCTCCTTTTTACTCTCCACAACCCCCTTAGATTAAAAAATTCTAATTACAAAAACACTCTTAAATAAAATGACAAAAAAGGACAATAGATTTAATTATATAATTAAGTTTTATTATAAAAGGGAAACTAATAATAGAGGGTCTTTTTCTCTCCACACACCCACCAATATTATATTGGCAAATGATAAATTATTTCTATTTCAAAAATCTATAGGAAAATCCTAATTTCTACCTTTCAATCACTGTTCTAAAAAAATTACATGGAGGTATGTTATATATATATATATATATTTTTTTTTTTTTTGCTATTTTTTTTTGTTTTGTTAAATTACATGGAGGTACGTTAAATTTTTTTTGCTATTGTTTCCAACTTCAAGTAAATTCTTATGTAGATACCAAATTTTCACAAATATATTGGCACGTTGCAAGATATTTAAAACAAAAGAAGAAAGGGATAAATTAATCTCCAGTTGCAACAAGTTTGTCTTATCTTCTGACGAGCATAAATATGTGCAAAACCTTAGTGCACTACAAAGATAGAATGGGGCTATGAAGAGTAAAAAGGTGGATTTAGAAAGAAACGAGGGAGTGCAAATAACACTATTTTTTTGGAATAATTTTGGAATAATAAGGGTGTGTAAAAAAACTAACCATTTTAAAATTATGTGGGGTGTGTAATTAGAAGGGAGTGTAGAGAGTAAAAAAGGGGTGCATATAAAACCAACCAAAATGAAATTGAAACAATTCTTTAAATTCAAAAGATACCTTCCTAGTTTCTAAAAACATAGAGATAAATTGAGAAAAATTAAAATTGAAAGGAATATTTATGTGATTATCCAATAATATATATAGATATGTATATACATGAATATGTTACTGGTTTGGTGTTATAAATGACCTCAATATTGCATGATCTTGAATTTCATACAAGGACAATGAAAATTTCTAGAGTGGTTCTATGATCACACCTCTTTTTGTACTCTCTACACTCCACTTCTAACTACACACTCCACATAATTTTTAAAGATTAGATTTACTTTTTACACACGTCTATTATTATTTCAGAATAACTCTAATTATTTTAATAAGATTATTAAATTTTGGACCACTTTATTTATCTCTTTACACCCACCATTTTATTTTAATTTTTTATTTAAAAAACAAATCAAATCGCATAATCAAATGGAAAATAAAAAAGCAAAATGCAAAATAAACAATTGAAAAGAAAGAAAAAGCAAAATAAGTCAAAATAATTAATAAAAAGTTAATAGAACATCAACATAATTATATTATATTAATATGTATACAATAAGAAAAGACAAATTGATAAAAGAAAAAAAAAAGCAAAACTTGTTAAAAAAAACATATGGCCACAAGAGAAAAGAATGAAATGGAAAATATGCAATCAACAAAACTTTATAAAATAAAATGAAAAATAAAATGATTAGTGTTAAGAAAGTGAAATGATTAGCAAAAAAAAACATGTAAATGAACAAATTGTCATAGAACAAATAGAAAAAGAAAAATTAGTATACTTCGATGAAATATTTTGTCATTGAAAAGTGAAAATTTGGGGATACAATATGTGAGGTGTGTGGAGAGAAAAAAAAAACATTAATTTACTTTTTATTATAAAATTTAATTATGTAATTAAGTCTCTCATTTTTTTCTCTTTGAGGATTTTTTTTCAATAAGAAGTTTTGATTGAAAGGTAGGTGTGGAGAGAAGAAAAGGGGGTGTGAATAGAATCACCCAAATTTTGATCGAGGGACATTGCATCAGTCCAACTTTATTAATTACCTGGACGCGTGTTTCAGATCTTCTTGGTGGGTAGATTGGACAATGTTGAAATCTAGTTTAGCAAACTCAAGCAAAAATGGGTTCTTGTCGTGTCTTCTCTCGTACAAATCGATGAACCACCGACTCTCCAACCTTGGCATTCTCCAATGTAGTGGAAGCTCCAATGCATGGCTTACCAGTAGAGAAAGAACATCGTTTTGAACTTTGTTCGTCTTTATGTATTCCTCGAGGCATTTGATACTCAAGTCTCGCGCTTCCTCCAAAATACTTTCACCTTTAATCATATGAAATGAGGCTTCATATAAAGACAGCATCGCCACGGTATCAGCACTGAAATTCCCCATCTCATCCCTGAAAGCATTGAAGACCTCTGCAATGCTTGAAATTGAATATTAGCTATATATATATACATATATATGTGTGTATGTAGGTATATAGAAGCTTCTCATGCAAGCCTAAAAAAATAAACTGTTCGATTTTTATCAAAAACTGTCTATTCTATATTTTTGCTTAATCTGATCATGTGATTTTAACATGATCTAACAGTTAAAAACTGATATTATCGGTAAGACTAACCTAGTAGAAAAATTTTCGTATATACATATAATATATATATATATGTGTATTAAAAATTCCAAATTCTTGAGAATCACTATGGATTAATTATTATATATGGAAAAGATATATGTACCTTGAGGCATAGAATACCCATGTTGTCGTAGGAGTCTAAATTCAAGAGCAATGGCATATAGATCATTGTTCTTCTTGGAATTATTATTGTATATTTCTTCTAGCACACACTTTATTTCCTCATCAAAGTGATAAGATATTCCAAGTCTTTGCAGCATATCTATATGCTCAAGTTGGGCTAAAGGGTCATCTTCCAGATTGCTGAGAATCTCTCTTACCACTTCCTTCAAGTTCTCGAATCGTTCTGCGTATGATTCTCTCTAAAACAACCAATTTATAACAACCATTTATCAATAGTAGTGGCAAACATCATTAGCATGCAGATATATATATATATATGAACGTACAGGCAAACATCATTAGTATGCAGATATATATATATATATATATATATATGAACATACACGTGTAGACAATTAGACACAAATTGGTGAGTGTATAATTCGGTCTAATTAGTAATGCCAAAAATGTTACCGTGTATTGAGTTTGAAGTGACTGCACGAAGTCGAAGTTCCAAATAGGAGGTTGGTAGTTTGCAGATCGCCGAGCAATAATTTTTTCATCGTTAGAAATTCTGGTAATATCTGCAACGCATTGAACTGGACAAGAAGCAACTCCGCTTCTCAGTCTTGAAACTGACGTTGGAGCAAGACATGCTCGTGGTCGGCTGATCATAAAATTGCTTGTGGAAATCAAGAGTGAAGAAAACTGAATATGAAATGCCATGGATATATATTAGAGAGATCTGACTTCTTTCTTCTCCGTTTGTTTAGATTAATATAAACAACTACTCTTCCACGTTTTCTATATGATAAGTTTCGCTTCTATTTATAGACATTGGAGACATCAATTTTTTTTTTTTTTTTTTTTTTTTTTTTAGTGTGGAAGAGCTTTTGTAATAATTTATTGTTAGGATTATTCTCATCCGTTCCTTTTAAATTTTAGAGTCTTTTTAAATTTTACCTTCCAATTTTAGAAACTCATTTTGTCTACCATTTAACTTTATTTATTAAAACAGGCGGAAAAAAACATAATGCGGTCACATCATGATAACAAATTAAAATAAGTACAAGATAACGCTTAACTCTTTTTTTTTTTTTTGGTCTATTTTTAACAGATCAAATTTCAAAAAGAAAAAAAAAACAAAGGTTAACTAAAATTAGTTCATTATTCAAGGGGTAAACAAAGCTTTTTAAAATTTAAGAAACAAACTGGAAAATGAACCAAACTTCAAAGGCCATTGAGAACTATTTTCAATACAATAACATAATAGATGCTTCAATTGTAAATTTAATATTTGAGTGCAGAAAACACTTTATAATATAATATTATTTGTTGTGTTAATTATATATATGCTGTATTTTGTGATAAATTTTCTGTCAAATATTATATATTATAAATTTAACATTTGATTTATATTAAGTCATATATTTACCTTTTCATTTAATCATTACACGTTTTGTTTTTTAAATTATTTTAAAATTAAAATTTTATATTTACAATTTTCAGTACTTAATAATTATAGAAAAAAATAAATTTAGTATTCAAATAGCATTATATATTAGAACATAAATAAAAATAACATATTTTTTTATATTTTTTAATGCCAATTATTTCATTGGAGATGATTTAACTATAGTCTTGTTCATTTTACCGATTTGAGTTTTCAGTTTTAGGTTTCTATAGTTAAAACCTTTCAGAAAATGTCACATCTAAATTTTTCTGCTACAATTAAAAGCTCTTACAAAATATCACATCTCAATTCAATTTGAAAACTCAAATCGGCAAAATGAACTAGGCCTATAATTTCTACTTTCCTTTTTTTGTGTGTCAGTTGTCATGGGACAAACGATGACTCATATACACTGTTTCACGTTTCTCCTTTTAGAGATTTTATATTTATATGTCGTAATTAACTAATTTCTTTTTTTTCTTTCAAAGGGATGGTGAAACAAATTTCTATAATACATACATACATATATATATATTACACGCACATATATATACACCTATAGATACACAATATATGCCTGAATGATTTGATTGCATCTATCAATTGAAGTATCTTTTTTTTTTTTTTTAAACTCAATCATTCCTAGCAATATATAACAACCATTAATGAATAATATTGGCAAAAATCATTAGAGCATTACTTCCATAATAACAAAAAATGTCACACTACACGTCTCCTTTTTCTTTATGAAAATATATATACACACATATATGAACATACACATATCGACAATATAAGACACAAATTGGTGCGTGTATAATTTGTTCTAAATAATAGAGAAAAGAGAAGACAAAAATTGTCGGCTAATTACATTACTAATTTACTAGTGGAAATCGAGAGTGAAGAAATATATGAAATATCATGGATAGAGAGAGCCGACTTCTTTCTTCTTTGTTTTTTTTTTTTTTTTTTTTTCCTTCTTGGTTTGTGTAGAATGGACAACTGATTTCTATATGAAAAGTTTTGCTTCAATTTATAGACGTGTGAGACATCATTTTTTTTTTTATGAAGTGTATCCAAATTTAAGAGTTTTTCTAATAAGTTATAGTTAAGATTATTCTTATGAGTTACCCTTAAATTATAGAGTCATTCAAAGTTTACTTCCTAAACTTAGAAAATGAGTTTCCCTTAAATTACATAGTCATTCAAAGTTTACCTCCCAAACTTAGAAACTCACTTTGCCTGTTACATATTAAATTAGGACACCATTTAACTCCACTTATAATTAGAAATTATATTAAACAGACATGAAAAAAGCATGCTACGGTCCCATAACAACAACTTTTATTTATATTTCTATTATAATTTCTATAAAAAATGAAAGAAAAAATTACACCATAACACTTAGCTCCCTTTTTTCAGTCTATTTTTAACTTATCAAATTTCTAAGAAAAGGGATTAACACAAATAAGTTCATTATTCAAGGGTTAAAGGCAGTACTTTCTAAGGTTTAAGGGAAGTAACTTCCCCCGGTTATTTATGTCGAGACTTCAAAATCTAGACACTGTCGTGAAAATGTTGATAATGTCGTGGATATTTTCATGCATGAACGTGACAATTGAATAGTGAAAAATAATATATAAGAAGATGTGGTGTGACCCAAGTGAGTCAAACTTACGATAATTTTATGGCCTTGAGTTCTGATTTTATGAACTTAGGAACTTAGCAAAGTTCATATAATCATAATCATCCACATAGTTTTCAAAAGAATTAAACCAAGATGGTTTTTTTTTTTTTTTTTGATATATTAGAATATCATCCACCATAAGTTAGGGTTGAAATGACATTGCACATCCATGGACATTGCTCATCAACTAGCACTCAACAACCAAATTATGGGCTAACAGTAGTAGAAAGAAATCAAAAACCATATATGTGGCACATTAATAAATATACCTTCATAACTATTAAAGGATAATATCTTAACAAATATATTCTTTAAATTAATATCGAGACCAACCTAATGCTTTCCAACATGAAATTCGTTTTGATATTAAAAACACTTGAAATTTGTATTTACTCCATAAATATTTGGTAGTTAATTTTTTATTATAATATATTATTGTATCTTGTTTGTAATGAGTATTAAAATTATATTAAAATTTTATTCCACACATAATTATGATAATTTCTTATTATACTATGTGACATAACTCTCGATAAAAAATGTATTTTTTTGGTAAATAAATTAGTTCAAGTTAACTAATAAATTATATTTAAAT